ATTTTTATCATTACATTATGGAAAATAATGACCTTTATCACAATATGCAAATTTTTTGAGAAGGACCTGTATATATATATTTAGACTTTCAGCAATGAACTTCACTAACCAGTTGGCAACTTGCCACAAAGACACAGTTTCACTTGACACCAGTTTGGTTCAGCTGTAATGTTTTGCAGCAACACGCGCTGCAGACAGAGCTCAGAGATTTATAAGCTGTGGAGCTGCTTTGTTGGACAACACAGTGTCTCAGTAGGGGCTGCAGTATCTCGGCCTGTCGATGCTGCAGTCTTGTTATCCTGAGGCTGTGGTTCGAGCCCAGGTTGCATCAGGATGGGCATCCAGCAGAAAACAATTTCCAAATCTTTCATGTGAATTCACCTGCTGTTGCGACCCCTGCAGAAGGAAACAGCTGAAAGAACAACTAAAACAACAGTTTCTCGATGGGCTTATTTCACAGCAGATATTTTGCCGAACAAGTAGCTCGAGCTCAGGTGGATTAAAGAGAGCTGCATTCCACTCCTGCACCTGTGCAGACTGGTTGTTCTGTTGATCATGTGCAAATGCAGAACTTCCTCTAAGAAGCATCCAGCCTTCGTTACTAAACCTGTACTTGTTCTACTTTTTCAAGTCAAAACGTCTGCTGCGTCCTGCTTCCAATAATGTTTTTAGCTTTGCCTTCAAACTGGAAGGTCATCGTTTCACTCTATGCGCCTCAAGATGTGGAAATGTCCTGGGACAGTAATTGATAACACTTTTTTTTTTTCCTTTTTATAAATTACAAAGAAGGCTCTGTATTCTTAACCAACTGTCACCAGAGAACATAGAGCCTGAAATATCATGGGCAAGTAAAGCCACACACATTACAGCACCAGTGTGAAACGCTTAGTGGAACATTTCAAGAAGCAACACATTAGCAATACCGTAGTCATCTTTCAGTTATGTTAACCTAACTACTGCTGCTGGTATATATTTGGATCCCTTGTATTTATGTAAAAATCCATCTTGCCGTCAGCTCTATTGGCAATATTGAGAAAGGACTTCCTTGTAATTTTTGATTGGCTATCATCGCTTCTGATTGATAATTGTTGTCCTTGGAAACCGTTTGAAAGCTCCTGGATTTGGACCATAGCTAGACACTGATCGCCTAATTACTTCAGCATTGGCTTCACAGCTTCAGCCAGGTTCTATAAAATGATTTACTCATACTGTTCAAAGACAGATGAGGGGGTAGCCTAGTCTTACATGGAACATCTGACCTGATAATGGATCATTTGGATAAATTGTTGTGTCCACGTCAAATATAACCTTATTGCACTACAGTAAAAATACCACACACAACTGCAAAAAATATAAACATCTCCCTGGTAATATAAGCAGTTTGGACACGGAGAAAAGAAAATGTGTGTAACATTAGGGTTTGTGTTGCTGACTGGTACCGATGACCCGTCTTTACAGGAAATGTCTGAGAACTGTGGTGGGCAGCTGATAGTGAAGGCCCGCTTCAACTTCAAGCAGAACAACGAGGATGAGCTGTCGTTCAGTAAAGGCGAGGTGATCCTGGTGACGCGGCAGGAGGAAGGAGGATGGTGGGAGGGCACGCTCAACGGCAGGACGGGCTGGTTTCCAAGTAACTACGTTCGGGAAGTCAAAACCTGTGGTGAGTTGGACCCGTCTGTCTGGGTTGTACCATTCATTCTCCCAGAATCTGTTAGAAGGTGGAGGTTTAAAAAGGTCATTACATTTATTTAAAACTATGTGAAGTAAATTGAATTGCAGAAGTCACCTGTTTATAACTTTTTTTATTAATAATAATTATGTGACAACTTTTTCTAGTAGGAAGTGGTAAAAACAGAAAACGCAGAACATTCAGTCTTGAATTAGTACCTGATCTGATATTGGTTGTGAATTTATCTGATTTATATTTTTATTTCTCTTCAGAAAAGCCTTTGTCGCCAAAAGGAACTCAGCTGACCAAAAATTACTACAATGTGGTAAATTATGCATTACAAATACATTACATTCATGCCATTGCAATTATTAGCATCACAGTGTTAAACAGGTCAATTTTTGCTGAAAAAAAAGATGAATTACAGCATGTTTTATTTGGATAATTTGTCACAATGTCATTACATTTTATATAAAGTGCTGATAAATAAAGGAAACTAAGTTGTTTTTTCTTGTTGCTAATATCATGACGTACAGTGTTTTCTTTAACATTAGCTATTTTCCCTGTACTGTGCTGTTATTGCAGGTGGTTCAGGACATCTTGGAGCATGAGCGGGAGTTCATTAAAGAATTACAAACGGTGCTGAGTTGTTACCTGCGACCCCTGCAAGCCAGCGACAAGTGAGACTAAAATCAAAAATGTGGTGGATCCACTTGTGAATCACTAAGAATCAATCTGTATTGGATGACTTGAACTTTGTTTTTCGTAGTCTGTGTATTTTAAAAGTTAAACATATCCTCATGGTAAACAGCACGAGCATCTTTTTTTATTTAAATTTTTGTTGCCTTGACGCTAATGAATCAGTTTGGTTCATAAAATTAGTTAAGGTAAATTTCAGAGAAACCAAAGTAAAACCGGATTCCAAAAAAGTTGGGACACTAAACAAATTGTGAATAAAAACTGAATGCAATGACATGGATGTGCCAACATCTAATATTTTATTCAGAATAGAACACAAATCACAGATCAAAAGTTTAAATTAAGAGAATGTATCATTTTAAGGGAAAAATCTGTTGTTTCCAAATTTCATGGCGTCAACAAATCCCAAAAAAGTTGAGACAAGTCCATTTTTACCACTGTGTGTCATCCCCCCTTCTTCTTACAACACTCAACAGACGTCTGGGGACAGAGGAGACCAGTTTCTCAAGTTTAGAAATAGGAATGCTCTCCCATTCATGTCTAATACAGGCTTCTAACTGTTCAATCGTCTTGGACCTTCTTTGTCACACCTTCCTCTTTATGATGCACCAAATGTTATCTATAGATGAAAGATCTGGACTGCAGGCTGGACATTTCAGTACCCGGATCCTTCTCCTGCATAGTCATGATGTTGTGATTGCTGCAGAATGTGGTCTGGCATTATCGTGTTGAAAAATGCAGGGTCTTCCCTGAAAGAGATGATGTCTAGATGGGAGCATATGTTGTTCTAGAACCTGAACATAGTTCTCTGCATTAATGGTGCCTTTCCAGACATGCAAGCTGCCCATGCCACAAGCGTTCATGCAACCCCATACCATCAGTGATGCAGGCTTCTGAACGGAGCGTTGATAACAACTTGGGCTATCCTTGTCCTCTCTGGTCCGGATGACATGGCGTCCCAGTGTTCCATAAAGAACTTCAAATCGTGACTCATCTGACCACAGAACAGTCTTCCATTTTGCCACACTCCATTTTAAATGACCCCTGGCCCAGTGCAAACGTCTGAGCTTGTGGAGCTTGCTTAGAAAT